GGAGGGAGAAAGAAAGAGAGAGAGAGAGAAGTGCGGTTGCTGGGGGCCGTGGCCTGCAACCCAGGCATGTGCCCTGACTGGGAATCGAACCTGCGACACTTTGGTTCACAGCCCGCACTCAATCCACTGAGCTACGCCAGCCAGGGGTGGTAGGGAACTATTAACAAGACCCCAAAAAGCACCTACTTTTCCAAAGTACAACCCAGGAAAGCCTGAGCCAACTGCTCCAGGGCATTTGCAGTCCAGCAGATGATTTCATACAGTTTTCCCATGTCATGTACATAAATTTATTTTAGTCATGATCTGTATGTTTTCTCATTAGACTGAAGCTTTGCCTTACAGACAGGCTACGGCCTCTTCTGCAGCTAAAGTCCTTGTGGAAAAGATTGTCCCAGCACAGAAAACCCCTCCAGAACCCACAGGGATCAGGGAACCCATTTTACCAGTCAGGTGCTTTGTCAGGTTTGTGCTCTCCGGCCAGGCTGACAACACTCTCGCTATGCTGACAGACTTGATCCTCAGGTTTAGTCAAATGCACTAACAGCGTGAAGACTCAAATGGCTAAGTTTGCAGAAATTCTCTAAATACCTTGGCCAAGAGCACTGTGGCTGGTCCTTCTACATCTCAGATCCACCTTTGGAATTCAAACTCTCAATCTTTGAGATAGTTGCAGAGAGCCCAATGCACCTGATCCCTGCCTCTTTGGATCCACGGCTTAGGGAAGGAAATATACTTCAATATTCTAAAGGCCTAAATACTTCTATCAAAATTAACCATGTTCTATTAAAAAAAAAAAAAGCCATCTCACAGTACACTCCAGGGAGAAGACGACCTTAAACAACACACTGCACCCTGGACACTTCACCTGTTGGGAAAGACACCTCCAGAAAGGCTCTCTTCAACTTTGCTACAAAGACCCCTGGTAGGTCCTGCTAACCAATCCTTCTGCTGCCAAACTATAGGCAGCAGACTCCGCAACACGTTTAATAAAAGCAAGTGATCCTGACTGAGCCTGCATACCACCTGGCGACCTGAAGATAAAAATTTCCCAAAACTGATGCAGAGTACACCTGAGGACTGTTCGGACCAGGCCAGTAAGGGGGCTTCAAATTCACAGAAGTCTCTGTTTCATCTAGACTAATAACTGATCATGGATTCTTAGCCAATTCGTAGCCTCTGAATTTGCAACCTACAGGCTATATTATTAAGGCATTTTGTTCCAAACAATTTCTTTTGAAATGAAAATACTATTTAATTGCTTCATGTTTGATTCCCGCATTGTGTCTTCCCAAAGCTCTTGTTTAATTCTTTCACTTCTGAGTATCCTTTTGTCAGATTCACTATTCTAAGACACCAGCTGGAGATGGGTAATTCCTGAGAGATCTCCCCTCCCCCAACTTATCACTCAAATGTGATCACAACAGGTTTACAATTTACATGTTGTACTTTGATACCAGGAAGGACCTTTCCTGAGAATCATGTTTCTCAGGAAAGGTCCTTCCTGGTATCAAGGGACGAAAGGCCACTGAATCCAGAAAAACCTGATTCTTAATTAGTAACCATTTTGGAGAAATCTCTTTATCTGAAGGCAGGTATGTGAAAATTAATAAATAGAAACCTCATTTAAAATGGAGTCAGGAGCCCTTGCTGGTGTGGCTCAGCTGGTTGGATCATTGTCCTGTATAACAAAAGGTTGGGGATTCAATTCCCCATCAGGGCACATACATAGGTCGTGGGTTCAATCCTTGGTCAGGGTGCATACGGGAGGCAATCTATCGATGTTTCTCTCTCCCCCCTCCCTAAAATCAATAAACATTTAAAAAAAATAAAAGTAAATAAAATGCAGTCAGAAGGCTAGAAAAGAAAACTCTCACACATGTAACAATCCACACACACTAATGATCCCAACTGTTAGACACCTTACCATGTATCTCCCACAGGAAGTGATACTATTTAGCTGCCTCATCACAAGAAAAGATTCCTCTTTGCCCATGCACAGCTTAGCCAAAGACAGACTGCCATAACTCAAGCAATGAAAAGTCACTGTACCTCAAACTTTCAGTTTCCCTTCTTTCTTCCTCTGGACTTGTTCTTAGTTTACCTTTAGAACACATGTCCCAAAATGCAATTTTCTGTTGTTCCTGAATAAACCCATTTTGCTGCAGACATATCAGGCTGCCTATTTGTTTAAAGAAAAGAGATAACGGAATGTTCCTCTTAGAAACAGGAGGAATTTTTCTCCTGAGTTCCAAGACCCAGCTGAGTATTATATTTTACTTCCTGTTACTTAATACTGATACAAGAGTATTGATACTGAGGCAAAGAATGGAGCATTTGGAACCACAGTGTGACAAGACATGCAAGATCTCTGTATTCTACTGGGGAGAGGACATAGTTTTGGAAGAGTAACTACAAGGTAGAGATGAAATGAACCGAATGTGTGTGTGTATACATGAGATAAGGTGGCCACAGAAGGTTCCTCTGAGGGGGTAAGATCACAACTGAGTTTGAAGGGTAAGAAGGAGCCAATTATGCAAGAGGCAGCAGGAAATGTTTCCACACTGATGGACAGCAAGGGCAGAAGCCCCAAAGCAGCAGAGCTTGGCCTGTCTCATGAGCAGGAAAGTCTTCCTTTGACCAGTCACTTGTTAAATGCTGTCAGAGAATCATGCTCCTTTCCTCCAGGGTACCTGTTTGGTTTATAACATATCAGTATTATGGTTTGGTTCCTGTCTGCTAGTCCTAATAAATTTCAGTAAATGTTGATTGATTGCCTACTGTGTGCCTAGCACTGGGGATCTAACAGTGGACAAAACACCATCGCTGTTTATGTTTGTGTATGTGTGCACAGGTGCAGGTGTAAACAGACAAATAATGAAAAAGGATCATGAAAATAGGAATAGTTTGTTACTGCTCACCAGTGTATCCCCAGAACCAGCACAGGACATGGCACGTTCGTGGCAAATATTCATTGAATGAATTCTGATCAGGACTGAACGAAGCATGCAAACTGTACATGTAACAGGATCCCAAAAATAACTTGGGTTTAGAAATGCACATGCATATAAGACATCTAGAAATACACAAAGTATTCAATGGTTGTCCTTTTGAGACATGATAGTGAGAAGCTAGGAAAAGTCCTTGGCAAGTGAAATAGGGAAACAGAGAGAGCCAAACACAGTGGCCAAGCAATTTACAGTCAGGTGCAGACTGTCACCAGGGCAAAGGCCCCAAGTGCCTGGCATGGGGCAAAATTAGTAAAATAAGGACCTCACCCCCAGGGTAACCTTTCCTCCCTGGAGATAACATCTAGGCCTCAGTTGTATTTCAGCTCCAGGCCCAGAAAAGCAGCAAAACCAAGTGGAAGACACCAGGACCAACTGCAAGGACTAAATGCCTGCTCTGTCACTGACCAATCAGCCAAGACCATGACCCTAAAAAAGCACACCTGGAGAACTGATGAATATTCTCCTGAAACCCTCCCCAGAGACCTCCCCTAAGATTCGCACCTACAAGAGAGAGAGAAAAGCCTCAAGAAAAACGACCCAGTGCACACTCTCCCTCTGCAGAGCAGCCTGCACCATTTCCTTTCCCTTCTTCCCACTTCTTTCTTCACAGGCACATGTCTCCTAAACTCTCAGGCAATGGGCAGCTGGCAGCTTGTCCCAGGCTGATCCCTTGAACCTCTCCCAAAGGCCCCGGTTTCTGACTTCCCAGTGAGCTAAGACAGCCAAGCCTAGGCTCTCCTATTGCTTCTTCTATGCTAAGCCCTTCCTTGTGTTTCACTGTCCTCAGCTTTAATAAATATATCCTCACAGTCACCTGGATTCGGCATGAAATCTTTCCTACACAAAGTCAAGAACCCACACACTACATCTGGCCATAGGCAGACCCACTCAGGGCCAGGCCCCTGTCTGGTGACACTTTGATTGTGTATATTTTATACAATAAGCATGTTGTGTCTTTTTAGCATATAAAGTACTTACTCCATTCAGTGAAAAACAAAGCAAATTTATAGTGAATGGGCCTGCCTGCAGCCTTAGTTTATGACCTGTGGGGGAAAACCATATTAACATTATTTGTTGTCTGTTTCTTAGGATACTAAATTCTCAGTAGGTTTGTCTGCCAATGTTTTTTAGGTTACTTCGCATGTCCTCTCAAATATGACTTAACCTAATGGAAAAAAAAAGGTCAAAAAAGCCATTTGGTAACTGAATAGGACGGACTGCATATAGTCGATGGGAATAAGAAGACCCCTGGGAGGGGGGAGCGCAACAGCCTGCAAATTAATAGTAATATGAATTTAGGCAAAAAGGATCTTGTTAACTTTAAACACAAAAGCAATAGGCACTCATCCAAAACCGCATCTCTCACTTAAAGGCTCAATATGCGCTCCACACTACCCATACAAAGCAGTGAGCTTCTTTGCCCCAAACTCAGCACAGGTGCCCTGGCCACTTCCCTAAAGCACAAACCCACTAACACCCAGCCCTGGCTCTGGCACCCACTACCCAACCCAGTGGGGTACAAACACCCCACTCATCAAAACACGACCCCGCCTAGGAAACACTGCAAACACTTCCCACCATGAGGCCCTAGCAAAATCCCCATGCGTTTAGGCACTCAAGATAAAGCCTTCATATTGAACACCGGGTCTGCGCTTCCTATCCCGCATCGCTCGGTCCCGAAACACCTGCAAGGTTTTGCCTGGCCCAGGGCAAACACTAGCCGTGCCCAGCACACCGCAAGGCTCAGTGTCGATCACGAAACAACCTTCACCACTGGCACTTCCGAGTCCCCAATCGCATGGAATCCTGAACAGCACAACCCGGAGGAGTTCTGGCCACGCCGTCACCCCAATTCTGCAACACCTGGGTCGACCAAGCCCTGCGCCTCCTACGTGACCCACCAAGCAAACCCCTCCCCGCCCTCGGGTCCAGTCGGTCTATTCCCAGACCTGCTGCAGTTCGACGCGGGAGGGTACCTTTCCAGGCCCTTACCGGTGGATGTGGGTAGCAGGACCACTAGGAGGATCCCAACAAAGCTCCAACAAGAAAAGGAACTCTCGGGGCGGCGGGCAGGTATCCTTCGAGACCCGCAAGAAGCCGTCATTTTCCAGATTAGCGGGGAACCTGGGAACCCCCCCAGGCCTCGCCAAACTTGAGACTCACAACAACTTAAGTGCCGAACCGTGGGTGTGTCCCGCCTGGGCTACGCCCGAGCGGAAGTGACGGATAACTGAAATCAGGAGGGGCCAAAGGCGGGCTGCAAGGCGGGGCTTCGGTGCCCGGAGGGTGCCGAGGTTGGGGGCGGGGGACGGGGCAGGGCCTGGCTCGGGACTAAACCAATCAGCCTCGCGGGAAGCTCAGGCTCCTCCCACGATCCCTGGGACTAACTACTTACCTAGGCGGAAGCCCCGCAGTTTGCGGGAAGTGGTGTTTCACCCCCGCGTTTCCCAAAAGGGTGGCTACCACCTGGCTCCGGAAGGGTGGAAAGGGAGGAAGAGCTGACCCAGCCGCGTTTGCGCTATTTCCGGAGCCCTAAATAGAAGAATAAAGTTCGTCGACGAGAAAATAGAAACCCCGAAACTTGGACAGCAGTTCGCGTAGGGGCCAACGCCCTTCAAGTCTCCACTTTTGTCCTCGGGCCTCCAGACAGTAGTGCCAGGGCCCACGGACAACATTTGGCATTAATCAGGCATTATTAGGGACAATACTTGAGATTTCCATGGCTGAAGGTGTGCTACTGAATCCTCTCAAGGCCAGCTGTATTTCAAAATCAGAAAGATGGTTTGACCACTGCATTACCAATCCCAAGGTAGATGACTTTGCCCCTACTTCTCTGAGAGAAACCCTGGGAAGGTAAATTAATAACCTGGCCTTAAGCATATGAGGCCTTGCCCTTGAGCAACTGTTTTGTTGAAAAGGAAATATACATGAATGAGAACGGTGAGGACAAATTAATGCCAAATTCTTGGAAGCATTGAATGCCATTGTTATTGGAATAGGTAGGGATTAATAATAGGGAGAATTTTTCTGATGAAACTGCCTCTCAATGCTAAAAATATAAGAATGATTAAGATTTATTTGTAGAATTGTGAGTAAACCTGTATGACTAATAAAAGAAAAAGGTAACTTGACCAGTATTAAAAGAACAAACAAAAAGAGTTAACATTTTCTTCCTACTAGTTGCAAAGAAGAAACATGTCAAACAACGTGAGTAAATATTGGGAGGACCAGCAGCCACAAGTTTAGTTTTTAACATAACTTTGTCAAGTGTTTTTGATGTTTTTAAATGCACATGACTTTTAAAGCAAGGGTTCCACTTAGAATTCATCCCACAGAGATCATCAGACCTGTGAACAAAGATGTGTAATTCTGGAAAAAAATATAAGGTCTTAAGTGTCTAGCAAAAGTATAAGAAATTTTTGCTAGGTGACTAATGGGATAGAATTCTATGCAGTAAGCAATGTAAAAAAATATTGATATGAGAAACTATGCTCCATTCTTAAGTGAAAAGAGCAGATTCCAAATCAGTACTTTTGACATTTCTTTTATAAAACAAGTAGTTTATTGATACACATAAGGGGAGATTAGTTGGAAATATACCAAAATAACTAATAGTTCATAGGATTATGCATGTTTCATTTTTTTGTGCTTTTCACTTTTCTATATTGACCACGTTACATGTGAAATCAGGTAAAGAAAACATTTTAATAACCCAACTTTTATGTCAATGTCTACTTTATTCATAGAATGGTGATAGAAACTATCACAAAGGATAAGGAATGAAAGGATGGTGAGGAAATGGAAGGTCTCAGTACAAATCTCAAATGTGTCTTTTGGGATTACAGAACTTTATATATATTTAAACAATTCTGCATCTGAAATGTACTGAAGACTTTCAGAGTTCAACAAATCATGGAATTTCCCCTTCCTCCCAGACCAATACAATGTTTGGATTTTCACCTGAGCAAAATCACAGTAAGTGGGATTGTATAAAATAAAGACCTTAGAATCTTGGATTATTAAATCCAGACACTCCATGATGACACTCACTTGGAGGAAGTATAATTAAGGTAATGAATAGGGAACTCAATAAAGTGGAATTATCATTTTTCTTAATTATCACAGGTGTAAAAGTGTGATGTAACAGAAATGTTCTGTTGTGGCGGGGGGAGGGTGTGCTCCACCTGCAGAGCCCCCTCTGCTGCCGTGGATGAGAATGAGTCTGCCAAGACATGATCTGCTTGGGGAGGAAAGGCTGACCAGGTTCTCAGAGGAGAAAGGCATCAAGCCCCTCTCTCAGTGGGCTTTTATTAAGTTTCTCTTGCATAGGGATGCATATCAAAGAAAGGAGGTATGGTTTACAGATAACATTTCTGGGATCATGGGGGCCCTTTTGAGTCAGGGTCTGGCAGATAGGGTGATGCCAATTGGCTGTAAAACCTTGGGAAACAAACTTATTTTGTGCTTGGACCCTTAACATTTAAATTGAGGACATTCTTAGCACAGCAGGTTTCATGGGACTTCATGCATTCTTTCTTAGGCCTGATCGCCCCTGCTGGGAACTGCCAGTTCGGGCACAGGGCTGCATACTCCTTCATCATTGTTCCGGGCCGGAATCAGGTTGGGGAAGCAAGGCAGCCAAGAGATTAGGAGACTTTACAGATAGAGTGAGGACTCAGGCTATGATAAAGCTGAGGAATGAGGGTCTTTTGTCTCTTCCCCATAATCTTTTAAGCCCTTTCCTGATGGTCCCTTCATGACCATGCTTGTCTTAGGTTGTTCCTTTCTTGAGGAATCTTACTGTCACTGACTATCCAGCCATCCTCCAGGGGCTAAGCAGGGTGAAGTAAAGGGGGCAGAGGCTGTGCCCCTGCTGGGAGGATAAGTTTTGTCTCCTAGTCGCTTATGGTCCCAAGGTCCCCTAGCCATGGGGCCTTTTCCCCTGTCGGTGGGGTTACAGCTTCTGAAATCAGGCAGGACGGTTCCCAACATTCCGTGGCTCAATGTTGGCACTTATTTGTGAAAACAGAGAATCTATTCTATACAACCATCTGTACATGGTGTTATATGTTAATTGTAGCTCAGTAAAGCAGGAAAAAAATTTTCTCATCTATTTGTAGGCTTGGAAGTAAGTGTCTTCTTTTTTTTTCCATGAGAAAATCTAACAGGGAAAAAATATGGCTAGTGTTTGGTTTTCTAGTTACAGGTATTAGATTAGATTCAGTGATTGGGGTTTTATGCAAACTTCCTTCCAATCAGTGAAATTTCTATCCCTGGGAATCATCAAACCATTCTTAATATAATTGATGGTGTTCTTGTTGATTTCTTTAACTTATTTTGAGTTGACTCAACTGAGGCTCCATATGATATGTTTTGAACCTTGTTCCCTATTTTGCTGGACAAGCTTCATGAGGGAGGGATGGTTTTCATGCTTTTTCTCCACTGCTCAGACACTTCTAGGCCTATAATAGATGTATAGTAAATGTGTATAAATTAATAAATTAAATAAATAGGTGTTGTTGTCAAGTGATTTAACATGTTTCTACCTATACTTCATGTGCATGGATTTACCAAATGCTGGGAAAGGTCTGAGAAATTTTAATTGCAATAATAATTAGACACTAAGAACAAAGCTGGATTTGTCTCTAAATGGGATGAACTACAACTAACTGCACAGAAAACCCTCATAAATCAGGCAAGTAAGCCAGCCCTTGAGAGGCAGCTAATGTCTATCCTTTATTTTTGAGATCACCTTAGTTACTGAGTTCACAGAAGGATATTAACAGGGAACTTCCTCAAGTTTAACAGGAATAGAACTCAACAGAGTCAAGACTCTGAGTGAAGTAAGGGAGTAAACACTAGTGGTTCCTCCAATTTTTCCTAAAGATGTTGTCAAACTGCCAAAAGAAAATGAGGAGAGAATGGAAAATATGCATGTTTGAAGACCAGGTTTTGAGCTGTCTGGTAGATCTTCTTTAAGGCTTTATGAACTCAGGTAAGTGTGTGTGGATGCCATTAAACAGAAGCAACTGCTTTAAAATAAAACAATGTTAGATGATTCTTTGCCTCCTAAATTGGTATATTTACATTACGCTTTTCAGAGGTGAGGGTAGCAGCATGAATGGACCCGAGAGACCTCAGAGAAGGCCTTCCACTGCCCTGGTGAATTACAACTTCAGTGTTTGTGAAAACCTGAAAGAGGATGGCTAGACAGAAGATACACTGTCCTTTTTGATGTTGGCCCTGGAAGCCATGCCTCCTCTATTTGCACCTGGTAAGCACCTGCCAGCCAATAGCTGTTACCAACAAGAGTGTTACTATGGCATGCCACACCAAAGCAGGTATTCTGAAACCAATCAAATACAGGAAGGAGAGGATTTCTCAGAAGGAATGTATTTTCTTTTAGTTTCCTGTTGGCTTTCGATGGCTTTAAAAAGTATATATATTACAAAGCATATTCCATAAGTAGATTTGCAAAGACAAAACCTTTTATTCCTTCTCATTATAATGGTACACATACAATATTTCATTTAAGCTTCATAGAATGTGAAGCTTAAATGAAACTAACTTACATATCACAAATGTACAAAAAGGTGAACAAAACAGAAAACTAGCTCTAGAAATAGCTTCAGACAGCAATTTGTCCAGCCTCTGCTGTTCAGATAAAAAAATGTAAGGCCAGAGGTTAACAGAATTGCTCAATAACATAAGCTAAGTTAGGCAGTATGGTATTTTATGCATAGTTGGTATATGCAGTATTTCCCATTGATAACTGATATAATTGGAATGAAATCTCATTGATATCTTGCAATTAAAAAGTCATAGACATCGGATACTTGTTAATCACATTGCTCACTGACTTAATTCCAGGGGAAAAACATGAATTTTTTTTTTCAATATGGAGAATTTCAATTCCAAAAAAAGGCCAGTTACTAAACAATTAATTTCTAGTTTTTAAAAAGTTTGTTCTTCAGTAACCCAAGAAAAAATAGAGATTTCCTAAAGTTCCAACTAAGCAAAACCATTGAGCATGTTTTCATGTATTTGTGGGCTACTCATATTTCTTTTTTTAGTGATTTGGTTGTATGTCCTTTGTCTTTTTTGAGGGAAGTGAGGGAGAATTGGTCCTTTAATTTTTGAAACCTTTGTCTGTGATAGAAGTTGCATATTTTTCCCTCCCAGTTTGTCAATTGACTTGACTTATGCT